TCTACTCTATTCTATTCTATTCTATTCTATTCTATTCTATTCTATTCTATTCTATTCTATTCCATTCCATTCCATTCCATTCCATTCCATTCCATTCCATTCCATTCTATTCATGTTCAGGACAGTTGCAACTCCACAGCAGCTATGGTCCCTTCTTTTCATGTACATCAGGCATGAACCTCATTTTAAAATATAAACAAGCCAGAGGCACACCACAGCGGTACAGATGCCAGCTCTTTAATTAACTACCGTCAGTAACAAAAGGTCTCTATTTTGATTAAGGGTACAGAAGGAGAGTCAACCCCGGTGCCTAGGAATTCCTTTAAATAATTATAGCCCCCAACTCAATTCTGCTGCTGGGAGTAGGCAGGGGCCAGGGAAGAAAAGAAACTTTGTATGTGGAACCCAATTTAAGGGAAGATGACCTCAGGGTCAATTTCTCGGAGCATTTGCGATCAATTCAATTCTCACCTCTACTGCCTATCTGCTAGCAAATGAACTTACTGTGCTTTTCAACAGACAGGAAAGACGAAGCCAAAACCTTCTCGGCTGCATGTGAATAACCACATTAGATGATGCTTGCAGAACAAAAAGAGGAAAACAAAATCCTACCAGCAAGACCCTCCTTCATCTCTCTGTCTTTCTTGATCCCCGATGACTTCATCATAGGATGCATTCTTGCACCGTTAATGAGGTATTAATATCTGCCAGGGCTTACACCTGCTGCCACCATAAGACTCAGTTGACAATATCTGTAAATCCCACCACAGGTTTGATATTCCCACGGAGCCCTGAAACCACACTTCTCTCTCTTTCTGGATGATATTAGTTCCACCCTAAAAAGGCATGGTGCTAATTAATAGCTTTACTTTATCCCCAGTAGATGCCTAGAAAGACAGGTTTACTAACTCTGCTGGCTTCTCCTTGTCCTGGTGTTGTCCAAAGATTTTAAATGGAAACTAAAAACAAGCAAGCAAAACTCCCTGATCCCCAGTGCTTAGCTCATTTATGGCTGATAATTTCTTTTGAGTGCTGGGAACAGAAAAAGAAATGCCCACACAAATCTTGATAGTCCTTTTCAGGGTAAGGAAATGCCTGACTCTGCCAGGGAGAGAAGAGGGAGTTTAAATGTTGGTGTGGAAGGCAGGCTGGAAGTCTGAGCTTTTGACAGGTGACGGCACACATGCCTTTATGATGAAACTTCCTTACAAAAGAATCACTTTTGCTGTAAGTCACGAGGGCTGCAGGGTTTGCAGAATTTCCTCCTCTCATGTCCTTCAACTAAATATAAAATATTTCTTTCTTTAAGTTCACCACTTCAAGAGCATCTCGAGGTTAGAGAAAAGACTAGACGTTTAGATGGTGGGATTAAGCTAGTAGCCCACTGTCATGAATTGGTTGAATTGGGGAGGAGCTTAATCTAAATAAACAAACAGCAGCAACAGAAAACAATTAGGGTGAGTCGGGATCACGAAACACTTTAAACAAAATCTTTTCCCTAATTGTCTCAGCATCAAAGGATATAAAAATTCAATAAGCTTGAAATACACTCACGGGGTTTTACCAGAATGGTCCCCACTACAAATGCTCAAGAGAGATGGAATATATTCTTCCTTAGAGGATTTCTTCTAAAGACTTATTGTCTAGATGCCCCAATCAGCCTTTATCCAGGGACAGGGTCCACCAAAAATTTGGTGCCAATCAGAACTTACAGTCTTGGGGAGGGCAGCGTTCCTTTGTGTGGAAATACAGATTAATCATTTCTGACCAAATATTCTCATAGGTTCTGTGAGGGATCCTGGGTGTGGTGTCTCTATGTCATAACTAAACAGGTGCACATATTGTGCTGAGGCACCCATGTTCTTTGGGAATCATGAACTTACGTTTGCACTTTATTTCCTGAGGCTTATAGACAACACCGAGAGACAGGTAGACAAGGACAAGCCTTTGAAGACGTTGTCTTTGTCTTGTCGTTTCATGTTACCCTGTTCATAAAATAGCGGGTGGCTTGCCGGGCGGTGGTGGCGCACGCCTTTAATCCCAGCACTCGGGAGGCAGAGCCAGGCGGATCTCTGTGAGTTCGAGGCCAGCCTGAGCTACCAAGTGAGTCCCAGGAAAGGCGCAAAGCTACACAGAGAAACCCTGTCTCGAAAAACCAAAAAAAAAAAAAAAAAAAAAAAAAAAAAAAAAAAAAAAAATAGCGGGTGGCCTTCCATACACCTGATTACTTTCTGAAGTCATTCAATGGGTATAGGGAAGGCCAGAGAAAATCCTGCCCATGCTGTGAAGACTGGTGGGCAGGGGGTGGAATACAGGAACAAGGCATATTTCTGCAAATTTCATCTCCGTTAGGTGAGAGGACAGCCACCACCAGCCTCTCCCTTGTGTGTGTGTCTCATCTGTCATGCCTAAGACAGCTGTGTAAGACCTGACTGCATCCAGGTTAGTCTAAACCAATAGCAGGAACATCTGAAATGGTCAGAACAGACATATGAGCTGGTTGTGACCTGTTACCACCTTCCAAGACCCATGTCAGTACCTCAAGACACAGGAACGGAAAGGGTCGCTTTCTAATTTGATGCGAATCACAGGTAGTTAGATCATACCTTAGTACACTTCAACCCAGGAGACAGCTTCAAAGGCTAGTTCAAAAGCCACCCTGGGCCATAGGGTCAGGCAATAGCATCACTTGTTTCCATGGCAACAGTCGCTGTTGCCATGTGAGGCTGTGGGACAAGTCAGTCAGGAAGTAAGTTGACTGGACAGAGGGAAGACAAACCATGCTTAGGTGTTCAGGCTTGCATGTTAGGAGAACTTTCTTGAGAAGGAAGGTCTATATGCATTTTGACTATTAGTAGATCTGTGTCTGTTATACATAATAGAAAATGTTAGTCAAGGTCAAAGGATTCTACTGCAGCAGAGAATTTAATCTTCTTTTAATATCAACTAGGTGAATATTTTAAAATTATGTGTGTGTCAGTAAGTCTGTCTGCATCTGTTAGGTGCCCCTGGAGGCCAGAGAACATGTCAGATATCTTGGAGCTGAAGTTACAGGTGGTTGGGAAGCTCCCAATATGGGTGCTGGGATCTGAACAGGGGCCTCTTCGAGAGCAGTGTAAGCCCTGAAGAGTTGAGCTGTATCTCTAGCCCTTGGATGAGTATTTTGTAATATGACCATGAACCATCACATAATCTAGACTGTATTTCTGACAATAAATAAAAATCAACTAGATAGCTCCCTCCAAATTTGTGGTTCCATTTTCAATACCTACCTTAACGTTCAAGTGCCAGACATGAGCTACTAAGCTGTGCGTGGCTGAAATTAGCAAGAGGCAGAAAGCCTATTGCTTCACCATATTTGCACTTCCCTGAGTGAAATCCCTTAGCCAAAGTGATTTTCCAAAAATAAGCTAAGCAACTCTCCCCAGAGCACCAGGCACTGAGCTCTCTATACATTGGCTTGTAATACCTAATGCCATAAAGGAACTTGGAGGCACTGTCCTCCTCCCCAAATTCCCCTCCTGGCCAAATGTCTTTCTCTCCCTTGCTCTTGCCTGTCAATCATGTTCACAGCTGAAATTTGATTTCTCCCCCACTGGTAACCTTATATGAAATATTACCAGTGTGGTTAGGACCAGTGTGAAACTTGCTTTTAATGTTCATTAACTTTTTGCTCAAAATGGATGGTTTCAATGTTACAAAACCTGCCAGTAGGCCTAGATCATTGTATTTAACAGGTGACTTTCAAATTAGAATTATAAAGATCTGCACAAGAAAGGAATAAGTTCTGCAACTGCATGCACATAGGACATACGAACCACACTGAAGGAATACACCAAGTTCAAATTTAAATACATAAATTCCTTTTAAAAAACTGTTAATTTTTTATAAGGCTAGCAGAGAAACCATATTGTGTATTCACAGTGCAATTATAAAAAATGAGACTTTCCTCACCACAGCAAATGTATGTAAATAATCAGACACTACTTTTGAATAGAGGAGGAAAGTGAGCTCTGTTTTTTTTTCCCCCAATTCTCTCATTTACTGGATCCCTCAAGAGCTTCCTTTTCGAAGAACTACAATTTGACAGTGTGACCTTTACCCCCCACCCTCTGCTTCAGTTTTGCTAGATACCAGAAGGAAAAAAATACAAGTATTTCATGCAAATTTCTCAGCAAGCAAACTTTGTAATAACAAAAAAAAATCATACTTTGTTTCACTAGCTAATGAGAAGTAAAAAGAACACATAAAACCATGACACTACGCAGTGACTGGGGTGAGAGTGTGACTCTGGCTCTCCAAATGCAGAGGGTTCATAATTAAATCCATGCTGGGATACTTGGAGTTGAAAACACGTTTAAACAGCTCCATTTTATTTTCTCTGGTAGATGAAAATCAGATTGTGGCCTTCCACGTGCCTCCTTCCTTCCCCTTCTGCCTCCGATTGCTGTGGAAGGTGGCGCCACAGACACATATGGATTCAGAAGGACAGCACTCTGCGTGGAAATTATGCTAAAATCTCCAAATGTGAGTGCAGATGTTATAAGCCATTGTAAATTTGGAATGTTCACAAATTCAGGTAGAATTGATCAAGAGAGTGGATGTCAGTTTTGCTCAAATTCATCCAATGGTCTGACATTCAAGGAGAAGGACTGCCTTCTCCAGTGTGGGCAAAGGTTTGTGGTACCAGGATGAAGGGTTTGAGATCTGTTCAGATTGGATTAGTTATTCTGTATGAGACAGATAATAATGTAAAGAAATCAATACAGAACAGCATGCTGGTTCTCACCCAGACAGCTTGTGCCATTCTTACAGTACCAAGTGTCACAATTTATGTCGCATGTGAGACACTACTACTAAAAGGACTGAGAACAGGAATTCCTCCTCGTGTCTGAGGAGCACAGTATTGCTGGCTGCAGGGTTGCTGCTGGCTTACGTTCCCTCCCTCACACGGCAAATCCATCCAAACAAGCACATGCATATCGAAGATCCACGCGTACCTGTTTGATTCCGGCCAACTGCTTTGCTCACATCACAGATGTAGAAGAGTCCCTTGGGTACCTGATTCAGTAAATATATTAAAATAAACAAAGGATGATTAATATCTGGGAAGAGCCTTTGAAAGACAGTATGTGCAAGGTCGCTTAGCTATCTATGACAAGGCAGAAACGGTTAAAAGAAGAACAATCTGGTCTAGGTGATCTTGCATGGTGGTCTCAGCCTTACCAAGCCAGAAATTGGGTCTGAATGGAAGGAAGAAGTCCACAGCGAAGGAAGCCTCCTCTTGGTTATAGGCCCCAAAGTGGGATGCCACTGGCCTAGCATCAGCTTTAAAACTGTTCTCAATTCACAGAGAACCAAGCCATCCTGGGTTCATAGAAGGGGGATCTATACAATGTCTAGTTGGCTTCTGTCTCTCCCATTGCTAGTTCCTCAGAGGAACCACAGGCCCAGTTTTTTGGGCGCTTCCTGGGTGCCTGCTCATCCAGACTGTGCCCTCTCCTCCATCTCTGTGGTCTATTTTACTAGCCACTCCGGACAATCACTACAAGTGTTTTCTTAACAAATAGTAGCATTTAGATGTCATCCCTTTGTTTATTATTTTTTTTCTGTTTAAATTGGTAGCCAGGAATACTCAGAATGAAGGATTGAAAATGAGGTTGCTTAAAAAAAGAAAAAAAAAGACTTATTGTTATAGAATGAATAACCAAGCACAATAATTCAAAATGCTTGCCTTTCCAAAAACAAACAAACAAACAAACAAACAAACAAAAACAAAAAAAACCCTCAGCTTATTTCTATTAGCTATACTAACGTGGATGACAAAATAGTGTTCATTTGCTGTACAGAACCTAATATTTTCTAGACAGCAGCTTAATAACAAAACAGACTTGTCATTTCCTCCCACGGATAGTCACACTGTACCAGTCCAGGCTGTCAAAATATATTTAAAATCTAATTTAAAAGATTCAGCGTGGTTTGGGGAAATCTGTGTACGGTAACTGCAATAGACTAGTAAGTCAGTCTATCTCCCCCGCCCCCCAACAAGGATATTTCATTATTTCCCTCTAATCTGCCACACTTCTATTTGGACGGTTTTCCAATTGGTGGGAACAAATAGACAAAATGCTTATTCACATGCTGGATCCCAGAGGCTGTGTAGCTGAACGCGTAATCTTCACTTAAATTGTCACTCAGCTTTGTAACTTTTATTCTTTCGAATGCTTTTTGTGTAAAGTATAACACTGCTCGGATAAACAAATCCTGGCCCTTGTACCTGCCGAGACCATCGGAAATTAATCACGTGTTTTCATTTGTGTTTCCCATTGAAATGCTTTAATAACCATGAGATCCACTTGTCTAGTCTTCACATACTTGTCTCTTCCTAAATATATATTTTTACAAGAAGGAGGGAGTAAAAAAGAAACGAGAAATACACTGAAATTGTTTCAAAACCTGGAAGTGTGCCATTAAGATAAACTGTTCCTTACTGGAAATTTAGATAGTTAATCTCAAAACAAAAGAAAACAATAAAAATTTAAAATTTCCCATTTAGAATAACCTTCTCTTCTTAAAAAAAAAAGCCATCTTTGTGAACAATAGATTCTCATAGAAATGCAAGTGAATGGATGGGTATGGAAACCTAGGAGGCGGTGGAAGGAATATCGGCATGAACCCTTTAGTGGGGATATAGCAAACATGTTAAGATTTGACAAGGAGGATTTACATGAGCTCAGATACCAGCAGGGCATTTTACAATTTTAGAAAAATATTACAAAGCAATAATTGGATGTGGGCTTTGCAAAAATGCCCCCCTCACCCTGTCCTTCCCGGCCCTGTCATTGATAGTATCTGTTATTTTGGGAGGAAAAGAATCAGCTTCATTAAATGCAATATTTGGCATCTTGCCTGAAATCTCATAAAGTAGCTGTCCTTTTTAGATCATTGGTGTCATTTTCCGCAGGATGACCTCTATGCTCCGGCTACCTGGGGAACCTATCCGATTATCTAGGCACTTACTCTCCAAAGCCTGTGGGAGGAGGGCCCTGGTGTTTGCACACCTGAACGGAGTCCAAAAGCCAGTGCATCCTTGTTGCTTTGTATTTGCTGTTGTCCTGCTACTTTTGCCTAGATTAACCACTGGGGAGCGGGGAGGGTCAGGGATCTCTGATAACAGCGGGATAGGGGAGTTTTGAGCTGAACCATGACCGTGTAATCGAGGCCGGATCGCTGACAGCACAGAGCCTCTTACCCTAACCACCGAGGAGGTTGTTGCTGTTTTAACAGCACGAGAGTGAACACCAATGTTCAAGTTAGTATTTCAAAAGGGCTCGGTCCCTTCACACCACAGCGAGTGCACCAGGAAGTGGAAAGTATGCCCTGAAAATATGTCAGAGGTCGTCTGCCATGTCTCACAATGGCCCTAGACAGACAGGGGGGTGGAGTGTCATGTGTCTTTCGTAGGTGAGGAGTTTTTCCAAGACAAGCCAAAGCAAGCCTAGTTCTTCTGTTCATGCAGGGCCCAATGGACAGAAGAAATTTACCCTGTGACCATTCTAATTTCATAAAGTAGTAGAAACTGCAGATTTATCTTTAAACGGCCTCTGCATTTCACTGTGTTACATCAAAAGAGCCAAATATATAAATCAATGGCAGAGGCCGGAATATTTTGAATTTGTTGTCTAAAACCAGAATGACACAAATATGGGTTTTAAAAACAGATTTGATGTGGTGTAGTTACCACTGGACTTTTTTTTTTCTTTTTCCTTCCTGTCAAAAAGGATTTTTTTTTAAAAAAAAAAATAATAATCTAACAGTATTAAAAGTGCCTGTGATGCATAATCATTGTTTTGGTTTCAGAATATTCACCCGCATAGCTAAGTCCTGCACTGAGAGACAGAGTTAAAATGTAGAATATTTGTTCATTAAGACACAAGGGGCTGCCTGGCTTCACCGCTCCCAAAGGACAGTGCCTATGAGAAAGAGGCTACCTGGGTTGAGGCCATTCCATCGTGTTTCCTTTAAAGTCCGCCCTATGGAGACAATTCCGAGGTGCTGGCAGTTTGGAATTGCGTTAAATCCAGAAAAGCCAAACAAGTGTCCGAGAAGCCCTCTGACAGCTTGTTCAGCTGGCTTTGTTCTGTGAGGAGGCACTCAGCTACAGACCCCGGAAAGTCCAAAGCATGAAGAGAGACTTTAAAGATTCCAAAACAGGCTACCTGAAATCCTCTGTCCCCGCTCTTCTCCGTCTTCTGTCTAATCAAAACGGGGAAAGGGGAAAAAATCTGGAAAGTTAATAGAGTAAAACACACAGATGCTCTGGAGCTCGGGAGATGCTCCTCTTGTTTACAGAAAGTTCCAGGGCGCTGGGAGGCAGAGTAGCGTCCCAGGGGAAAAAGGCAGAGGTTCTGGCAGCACACTTTGTCCCACCCAGGTCCAGCAGCACAGTTCCTCTGGTGGTTCTGACAGCCCAGAAAGTCTGCTCCACCCAGAGTCTTCCTCTAGGACAACTTCAGCCAGATACCAAGGCACATGGGGATTCCCTGCAGGGGTGCTGTCGCTGGGCCTAGTACAGGACTCAGGGACAAGCTGGTTGTGGCTGCCACTGTTGCCCCTAGCACCAGACTGCTGTTTGGGCACCTCAGAGGTGAAACTGGTGCCTGGTCCCCAAACATGCACCAGCTTTGAGTAGACCTGTGGCTGCAGGCAGGGCACTGAGGGACTGTCTGGTGGCCTAAGAAAGCCACTGGCCACAGACAGCCTCTTAGATCAGCCTGGTTCCCATCTGCTGTTCACCAGTCAGGGGAGTCTCCAAAGGTGTCCAGCACTCTGACCCCTCAGCTCTGGCTAGGAATTGGGACCAGCTATATGACTGGTCTCCACAAGGCGAGTGTATATATCAATGGGCAGAGGCAGATATATGTTCTTGGTGGTGTGATGAGGAGTGTGTAGATGCTGGAAAAGGGGCCTCTCTCAGTCTTTTCCTTGCCTGCCTTCTCTTCCCTCCAAGCTATGGAAAGCTTTATACAGTGAGCAACCATGCACCCTAGGCTAACCAGACTTCTGAACTTCTTCCCTCTCTACCTTTGTCTGCACACAACACTGCACCTCGGGTGACTTGTGGTGGCATTAACTGCTTCCTGGCTGGAAGACCATACCACTCCAGGGGGCTCTCTCATGGCCCTGTGTGACTGATGTGACAGGCAAGGGTGCGGACAATTAAGAGGTGGACCCTGGATGGGACAGGGGTCAGGTGGTAAGGGGCTGAAATGTTGGTGTTAAGGGCCTCACTCTTTTTAGCAATATGTGGGGGACCTAGAGGTCTGCCAGCCTCTTATCAGTGCTCCCTGTAAACAGATAATTCTTGGGAGAGTCCCTAAGCATGACCTGAGATGACCCTAAGCAATTGGAGGTCATAGGTCAAGGTTGGCCTTTGTCAGTAATTCCTTCCCTAGCAATTGCAGCCTCTTCCTTCCCTCTGGATTTTAAGACTTGATTAAAGTGGCCTATTGTCTTATGGACATCAGGTTCATGTTTCTTCTGCTAAAGTTCCCACAGGACATCCAAAGCCCACTTCTAGAGGCTTCCAGAAGCAGATGCTGTCACTTAGAACCTGGGAAAATATTGGTTGCAAAAAGGGCATGTGTAGCTTTGTCCGGATTTGCAGGTCACAGCCGTTCTCAACATGACATTTCCCTCCTTCCTGCCTAGTTCTGCGAGGTATGGTAGCTTCTCTAAACCAAACACAAGGAAATACCTTCTTCTGAGAGCTCAGTTTGGAAGCAGGCAAGATTGGGAATCAGAGAAGATTCCAACCGAGAAATCTAGGAACAGAATCAGCCAAGCCTGGAGTGTGGGTGGGTGGGGACTGAACGCCGAGAACTGTTTCCTTCCACCCTCTGCTTTTTGTCCCAAAGCAGGGATGCACCTCTGAGTCCCCCTTCTTGAATGAATGCCCCTTTCTAATGGCAGCTAAAAACTCAAGATGGATTTTTGCAGAGGAAAGGAATGCGATGTTGTAATCTAAAGTCTACTAGGGGGGCATTTGCGTTCTAACAAAA